CTCTCCAGCTACCAGTCCACATTTAGGTGAGGGGAAATGTAGTTACTAGAAACTACAATATGAGTAACGTTACAAGTAGGTTATTAAGAAATGGGATGGGATGATGGGAGGTCGTTGAGGCTGCAGAGTAAAACAACCAGGTAACGTTTACTGCCCTGAGTGAATTAAATAAACTGTAAAAAAAGAAAAAAACAAAGTGAGACGAAAGGAAATTGGCTTAGAAACTGAAACGTCTAACATATCGTGCAGTAATAACAGTCTGTGACCTTTTTCATGCTTTAACCAGTTAGCTCATGTTAGCAGCCAGCTACATACTCACACCGCTGTGTTGAAATCCTTTGGCAGCATTTCTGCAACCGCAAAACATCGCCGTCCGCACTGAAGAGAGGAACATGTTTGTGCCCTGATATGTCCTGAGCGGTGCTGTTGTGGAAGATGATGATGGCTGAGGTAAAAACAAGCTGTAGCCGGGCTGTTAACTTAAGTTACACAACCCTGTTTCCTAACTGACGGCTCAACTTTGACCTCCCGACGTCACAACAAACCCACAAACGCCAAATCAAGATTTTTATTTTTTATTTTTTTTCGTTGGTAGAGACGTGAAACAACATACCCAACACTCAGAACAAATATTAAAAATATATATATTATTTAAAAAAAATTGTCATAAAGAGACGGAACGTCCAGGTGGTTGGTGTATGTTTTGTGTCTGAGCGTATCCCGGATGGGCGGTCACTCGTAACCAGTGTAGCACCGCCCACCCGCCAAACCGCGTGTTAGAAATTCAACTATCCGGAAAAAAACACTGATCCACAATCTGGCTGCAGGAGCTGTAGCAGTCAGTCAGTCAGTCAAACACCATGAACTGACTTTATATCGCTCCCAGTCGATTACAAGTTCCTATGAATCGATAGGAAGTGGATTTGACAGGTAGTAGTTGTAATTGTTAGTGCAATTAATTGTGGACGTGTTGACTAACAAATTCACATTGAATCTCGTTCTGTCCCTGCCTGTCTTGTCTTTCTGTCTCACTCTTAGACTGTCAGTATGGCAGAGGGCTTTTTGATGGAGGTGTGTGTGGACTCTGTGGAGTCTGCTGTCAATGCTGAACGAGGAGGTTAGTAATGTGAACATCTGTCTTTTTTTTATTCACTCTATTAAACCCACTCTGACCTACCTGCTAAACAGTTGATAAAAGGCAGTTCAGCTTCAAAATAAGGGGACAAAGGTTGCATCCAATCAGACACAATTAAAGCGCTGTCTCAGGCAGAGTATTAAATGGACGTGCAGTATTATTTAATTTCTCAAAGGTCATTCACCATGAATGTGCAGTCTGAGTGTTTTTCTCCCCTGACAGGTGCAGGTCGACTTGAACTGTGTTCGAGTCTTCTGGAGGGAGGGCTCACACCCAGTCTAGGTGAGCACAGTTCAGTTCTGTACAAATATTCATGTATCTGCTGAGACCAGACAAGCACATAGATTCACATTTGTCCTACTATTATTTGCTTTGCCACAGGTCTTCTGCAGGTAGTGAAGCAGTATGTCAAAATCCCAATCTACGCAATGATACGGCCTCGTGGGGGGGACTTCCTGTACTCAGACCAGGAAGTGGAGGTGATGAGGAAGGACATAGAGCTGATGAAGAGCCACGGGGCCGATGGACTAGTGCTGGGAGCCCTTACAGAGGACGGACGAGTGGACGCAGAGCTCTGTATGGAGTTACTGGGTAATGTCTGCCTGTATATATGATCTTATCTGTATGGGCTTAAGAGGCAACCGTTCATGATGTACAGTTCCACAAAATCATAAAGAAAATATTTCAAAAGATCCCGTTTTTATAACAGAAATGAGATTACAGGGTACTCTGTAGTCTGTCTGAGCTGCCAAAACAGAAACTCCTCACTAGAGCCCAACCGATATCTATCAGTAGGCCGACATTAGCGAGTCACAGACATATCTGTATCCTTGTGGTGTCAGCATATATGTTATCTGATAAGCGCAGATATGAAAACTGTTTATTTCCGGTGTATAAGGCAGAGAAAAATGTTTGTGCTGTCACTGCAAAGTTTATCCAGCAGAGGGCACTGTGATTTACAATAATGTGGCAAGCAGCACAGACTAAGAGAGAAGAAGCAGCTCTCAGAATTGGTTGACAGTGTATATGTAAATTATTAAAAATTTAAATATTCTTTAAGTTTTTGTTAAGAAAGGGGCCTTCTGAGTAACTTTGCGCAGTCATACAGGGGCAAAATGGTGCACTTTCCACATACAAAAGGTCAATTTTCATTTCAGCACAAAAATGAACTATTATGGCCGCCATATTGGTGAAATAATCGGTGAATTTTTCCCTTATTAGTGTCATCCTCAAAAATGTTACCTTAACACAACCAAAACAAATCAGGATTCAAATAGTGGAGTCCTGTGGGCATTGTACTGTTCATGTAGCAATGATATGCACAATTACGTTTACATCTACATTACACTCCTTTTTGGGAAGATATTTTTTTCACTGCAGACATTTTCACATGTCATAATAGGAAAGCACAAGTGTGATTAATACTGGCTGTGTTCCATTTAGGTGTTCCAGTCCCAGACGTCTAGATTTATACAAATTGTCATACTGGGACACCACAATTGAATTTAGGCTTTAATGTTATTAGTAACCTGTGATGAAAAGTAAAAATGTTTTTTTTTTTTTTTTAAATCTGCCCACCCTGATTGCCAGGGGAAAGGTGCACAAGGACCACTGTATTATTTCTAAATAAAGAATCAGTCAATATTCTCTATGTAGTATGTGGTTTATTACAGATCCTCCAGGTCAGAAAGAGAAAAGGTTGTAGAAATAATCCATAACAAAGATAATTGTGTGCTCTATCTCAAGATTTTTCGACAGCCTTTTCTCTGGCAGTTGAGATAGACAGCCCCATAACTTTTCATATCTCTGCACTACAAGACATGGCTCCCACCTTTTAATACCCCACCTTAGGCTATATTTAAAGGTTCATACTTCTCTGCAGCGTCAACCGAGATGGTACCTGCTATTGAATTATAAAAGTTGAGAATTGAATTTTATTCATCAGAGCCTAGCACTCCTGCTGACTCTGCCAATACCTTTGTACTCTCTGTGAATCACATATTTTCATTACATACAAAACCAAGACATTTATAAGACCTGATTTAGTTCAAAGTCATAGGACCAAACTTAATTATATGTTTGCTCCGTTTGCTTTCTGAAGTGTAAAAATGTCTTTCCCTCTTAACTGTTTTAGCTTTTTGTGTTTTAAAATACAAGTTTCAAATATCTGACATTGCTACAATGCATTGATAATCTAACCTAATATAATTATGCAGCTTTCAATATGTTAAAGTTTATCCCAGGAGTCTTGGTTCACAGTGTTTGTGGTGAGAAATCAGTCATATTTTCTTGATTCTTGTTCTATATCACAACTCTATTTTTTTGTTCAATGTCTTGTATTGGTACAATTACTTGTGTGATGGTCTCTTTTTTTTTTTTCTTTCCCACTAGCTGCTGCGCGACCTTTGCCTGTCACCTTCCACCGAGGTAACATTTTCTTCTTTGAATCACATGTACACTTAAAGGTCCAGTGTGTAACATTTAGGAGGATCCTTTGGCAGACATGGGATATAATATGCAGGTTTCCATAGTATATAATCACCTGAAAATAAAAATCGTGTTTTCATTATCTTAGAATGAGTCTTTTTATTTTTTATTTTAATCTTTTTATTGGAGGA